TGATCTAATAGACCGAATATTGCGCATCACTCTAGTAGTGCTAATAATACATACATGCCTTTAATTAATTTATCATTTAATTCATTTAAATAACGAAATATAAAAAAGCCATAAAATAATAATTTCAGATGATTATAACAACAAAGATCAATACAATTAAAGATGGAAGGCGCCGTCAACAAGTTTTAATTGTTGTCTTGTTGACGACGCGCGGTTGTTGTAATTGTTTTTGTTGTTAGAGGAAGAGGAAGAGGAAGGAACTAATTTTGAAAGTTTTGTTGACATGTTGTCATTATAACTAATTTTAATTAATTATTTATTAATTATGAAATTTCTTGCGATTTGAATTGCCTTGGATATTCACAGTATATAACAATTATAATGACTATTACTACTTTCAAAAGAAAAATTTATCGAGTGGAAATTTTATCAATAGATTGAATCGCATTATATTATTACCATTAAGCAATTGAGTCTTTTGAAATAAACCTTCCCATAAAAATGAAAAAAACATTTGGCTCTTTTACTTCAACATAAATTGCATCAATAATTTCAAATAGACACTTAATACCAAAATTTTTAATCTTCACCAATAAAAGTTGTATATAGATTTGGTGAATTTTGTAAGGTTTTGTTGTGATTTGATTGTTTCAAATGAACATTGTGGGTGCTCATAATGCCATCCACAACGAATTTTACTTTATCCAATAAATTTTTTCATTGAATAGGTTTTTAATAATAACAAAGAAATAAAATATTAATTGGTTGATCACCGCCGTACATAATCTAACATGAATGATGATTGTTGGCATTTGGGATTTAGCAAGAAGAAAATCTCAGTCTTCTAAGTGATGATTATTTTCTCATCTCAAAATAATATTTTTAGAAATATTTGATACATATAGTAAATGACATTATGTTACCGAGTTACAATTGGTACAACATATTAAAGATTCCCCAATTTTGGTGATTTATAGTTGTACGAAATTCAACATGATTATTGATCTGACCAATCAATGAACAAAACAATTTTAACAAAACGTACGTAATATTAAAAGGTCATCGATTCAGAATGTAGTAACATGGTACCGCTTTTATATATGTGTACGAAATTCTTTATTATTATATACGAATTGTAAGCATAGTGGACATTTGATTTCATTGGCTAAATTTCCCTTTCCATTTATTGCAAATATGGTGTGAGTCATTTAGTCGCTGAACTTTTATTGGTTGTGTAGATCCTTTTACTCCTCCAAAAATGGAATTGTATGGCCAAAAAAAAAACCAAAACCATAGAATTAAAGCTAGGACCTTTCCCTGGAATCTAATGATTTCACTTCATTGTTATGCCACGTTACCATAGAGGAATGATGCATAAAAATTCCCAAAATAGCGTGGTACACATATTTTTTTATATTAAAAATGAACGAATTGGGAAGGATCGAAAATTTTATGGCCCAATATTTTATCACGTGATAATAATAATGACAACTGAGAACGCATGGCTTTTTTACGTATTACACAATCATGCACACCATGCTACGCAATATAAAAAATTTATTTATTTTAGAATCACGTTGACATTAAAGTTAAATTGGTTTGGATTGTGTCTTCGTCGCAAAGAGCAAAAAATCACATCACTTTGGTCAAGACTATAGTTATTATTAAATAAATAGATGATCATTCCACATTTTTTCGTAAAGACATTCTCTTGGACCATTCTGGATATTCTTTGGTGTCATATATATACTAATACTAATATCTTTAGATAAAATTTGACTTGATGATCTTTAAATCACGTAACATTTTTTGATTTTTCTCAAAATTGTAGTATTAAGGCTTCTATTCGTAATACAATTTCTTATTCGAATTATTCGTAATATAGTTGACCTTTAATAAAATTTATTCGAATTAAAAAATTTATTCGAATTAAAAAAATTCATTCGAATTAAAAAATTTATTCGAATTTAAAAGTTTATTCGAATTAAAAATTTAATTCGCTTTATCCAAATTATTTGTTTTATTTGTTTTATTCATTATCGGAATCTTGGGCTTGTTCATTCATTATTTGGAATCATGGGTTGTTCAATTACTTAAATATTCAAACAATATGCAGCAAGGTTTAATATTGATTTTATTATTATAAAAATTGAAATTAAAAATGAAATTAATAAGGAAAGACTGAAACAAGATTCATGTTTCTTTTAATAAATAGCAATCTTTCCAGTGAGCTTGAATTTAAACTGGACCTTAATTATTTGTTTTATCCGAATTGATTTTTTCGAATTATTTGCTTTATTCAAATTAATATTAATATTAATTTCCTTATTCAAATTAATTTCCTTATTCGAATCAATTTTCTTATTCGAATTAATTTTCTTATTCTAATTAATTTCCTTATTCGGATCAATTTTCTTATTCGAATAAACTTTCAATGTAATTCGAATACTCAAATTCATAACGAATAAAGTGAATAATTCGAATAAACCTTATTCGAATAGAAACCCTATGTAGTATATATACTATGAGTCATATCTATTGTATATTTAATATTAACAATAAACTTACACTTGTTACAAAATGTTAATAACAACGATCTATTATTTATTATTATTATTATTATTATTATTATATAGACGTTATTTACTTAATATATAGTTAATTGAGTTAGTAACATAATGGTATATTTTTATAGCATTCTCTAATTAATCAAAATGTACAAGTGACCCGAATTAATGTACTTTAAAATAATTCAATTCTCTTGAATAAAAGAAAATAACAATCAACTCTCAAGTAATTAAATCAATATCCAAAACTATTTGTAGTAAGATTGCCACTAATCAATTTAGTGGGAGGGTTGATGATAATGAAAATAACTAAAATTTGCATGGAATTTCATTAATGCTATTAAAATTAACACATTTTAAAATATCTGATTAACCGATGAGCATTTGGCTAAACTGACTAAACTATTTAAGTCATTATGTTTAGTCAAGTACAATTATCACCAAATTAGGATTTCCCCTTTTACGCGGCCATAAATATGAATATAAGATATACAAATCCATATTGGAAAGATTGACCAAACAGCCATAAATATCAATGGAATAGGCTACATCTAGACAAATCAACTAATAAAAACGCATATATTTTAATAGTAATAGGTTATTTTTTTAAAAAACAAATAAATTTTCATACCAGAATGTTTTCCCAGGTGTTATTTTTCATAGAAAGCTTTAATAAACTATTAAATGAAGCAATAATAATATTTTTTCAAGAAAATTATGAAAGGTGAAGCGATCCATGGAGAAAATGAAGAAAATTTAGAAAATGAATTAATATTTTTAATTATATCAATTGCGTTTCATAAATAGCGTACATACTCGCACATGTATACTTGGTGGTTCTTAACAAGGATAACAGAAACTAAATGAATTTAATCAGCTGACTATCAATGTCAAAAAAGATAAACCACTGCTGATTTCCAATTTGCCAATGAGCTGTTATATTTCTGTGAAGGTGATCTATTGAGTTGCCACTAGAAATTTACCATGGGATGTTGGATATCATCGTCAATTAGACGAGCCTGATAAGTTAAGAAAAAGAAGATAACTTATATGATCATTCATTAGCAATAACCAGGTAAGTATGAGTTGATGGAAGTCAAAGACGCTTATTGTTGTGGTAATATTATACCTGAAATAAAGGAAACGGAGGTTATGTGCCAACATTGAATTTGTTGCCATCACCACCAGTAGTGCAAGAAAATAATTATAAATGTGAAAATGTTTTGACGATCCTGTTGGAGGTGGTGCATCATGGACAATCAATTATCAAATTGTTTCAGAGAAAATTGATCAACAGCAAAAAATAGGATTCCCTACAACAAGGTTACATCTATTTAGTACTGGCATTTGCATCTACAATTTCACAAGTATCTCTGATGACATATATAGAAAAGCACATCAATATCGTTATTATTAGAACAAGATGTTGTGGCGAGTCCAAAAGCACAATTTGTTATTACAAAAGATGATGGTCATGAAATGTTTGATATATATATGTCAGATTTAACAATTTTTAAAATAAAGGTTAGATCACAGGACAGGGATTGCCACTATTTAGTTTAGTGTTTGACATAATATAATGAGGCTGGTAATCAACTCGAATATGTAAATATAGAAAAGATTAATTATATGGAGCACTATTTGTACCTAACTGGAAATTTGGCCCCATTGGAATTGTACAGTTTCTATTATACAAGAAATTGATGCAAATGATTGCCATTAATTTTCCCAGGTTCATTGCAAGGTGATACAATAATCTTGTGTTACTAGTGTGTTGAATATTAATTATCTAATTAACATATTTCTTCCAATCCCTCTCACCACCATGGAATATATATGATAGTCAAATCAGATATGCAACATCAAAAACATCAATATTTATATTTGGAACAGGTAAACCAGGAAATACAACAATATCGAAGGTGTACCATCATAATAATGAATGCTGTAGCCACCCAAAAGATTTAATAGAAATAATTAATGATCTCTGACTGCAATTGTTTCAGAGGGTAAAGAATTTATTAAGACATTAGATAAGGTGATAAAAGTGAAATTGGTTATTATTATTATTATTATATCAGCCTTTTAATATTCATAAGTATAAATATAAATATTATTTAAAGGTACACCGCCATTTCAATTTACTTGTACAAGGAAAGAATTTTTGATAAACATAAACAAGGGCATGTTTTAGAAGCTAAACCTGTCACTAATATAAATGACAATTTACACGTCACAAGAAGGTTATTAATTATAATTATAATTATTTCATTTTGTTATAATTTAAATGTAAGCATATTTTGTAGAGATCGCACCAAAATCATTTTTTATTATAACGGGTGACGTCATAACTGATCAAATACGTGTGGTAACACAAATGACGATCATCATAATCTATTTTTCATTTTTGAAAAAAATAAAAATAAATGAAAAATGACTTCTCGATCAACATTCTCACGTGTAAATAAAGACGCTCTGCTTGATACAAAGACCTTGCTAAAACCAAAAGTTACAAAGAAAAGAATCAACGACAACAATAATAAAAATTTTATAAATAATAACATGAGATCTAGCAACATTAACCTCACCAGATCTACAACAGTTGTTAGCAAGGCTAAACAACCAAATACCCTTAGAACTAATGTCACTACCATTACTAATGCTATTAAACCTAATACTATCACTACCACCAAGCCGATCAACATCGCTACTGCTACTGCTAGAAACAATACAAAGTCCCAAAATAAGATCACTGTCAACACAACAGCCAATAATACTAAGAAATCAATCAACACGTCTAAAGCAGCCATCAACACCAACAAACTTACAATTGGTTCTCAGTTAATCAAAGTTAATCCTTCCGTTGTTACTAATGTGGCTAGTGTTAGTAGACCTGCTGCTGCTACCAGACCTACTGTCACCACTAATGCCTCTGATTCAAAAGTTAATGAAAAGAGATCCACCACAACTTCTAATATTAAGCGCAAAGGATCAGAAGAAAAGCTAGAATCATCTGTTGACAATAAACACAAAAGAATTGCATTAACACAACCACCGCCAACTATAGAATCTCTTAATGAATTACGTCAGTTGGAAATGACAATTAGGATAGAGCAAGAAGAATTAATAAAATTAAAACAAGAATATCAAGTGTTAGAAATTAAGTTGAACGACTCTAAATGTGTCTATGAAGAAATTAGCAATGAAAGAAAAGAAACAGAAGTCAACTTGTCTGAATTAAGATATGAGTTATTGGTATCAAATCTAGAAATTAAAGACTGTGAAGAATTTGTCAAGGATATGCAAGAAAAATTAAAAAAAACCAAAAGTATTTGTGTTGAATTGAAGAATCTAATTGAAAGCTACAAAAAACAGAATCAAAAGTAAATTGATTATAGATGAACGAATGAATGAATAACTAGTATATTATATATTTATATCATATATATTTGCACTTTATTACACACACACATATATATATTAAATAACAACAATATATTTAGTAACAAACATAAGAGCCTGTCAAGTGTAATCTCCTACATCTTTAATTGAAAATTGTTATACAATCATAGTAATAGATAACATGTAAAAAATTTTTATATATGGAAAATTTCACTCATCTCTACATTTTTTTTTTCCAATATTATTTTACTCCGCCAATCCTTATTTAAAGTTCGCCGATTCATAGACGGATCGTCAATCAAATATTTATTATAAATCCATATGTAAATTAATTGATCTTAATATTATATCGGAATGAAAGTAGTAGAAACATATTCAATCTGATTTTCAAAATGGTGTTAAAAAAAGAATCAACACAAATTGGTTGGAGCAATTGGTCATCAACTTCATTTTGATGCTGTTCGATGTAATTAAAATAACCAATTAACACCGGTCAGCGTGACACCCAGTCGGGCATCATTCTACCTGTGAAGGAAGAAAAACTACCAAACAGAGGGGTAATTAACTGTAAGTCAAATTTTGATTTTTTACCAATTTAACATTTTCAATTCCAATCCAATCGCTTACCTATTCAAAAAAAACCATTGAGAGATATGCCAATCGGAATTTCACATTCAAACACCCAATGTACAATACAATATACATAGTTTGGTAAAATAAATAAAAAATCTTACGAATAGCTCATTAAAAAACTTTTCAACTATAGGCATAATCGTATTTTCTTTAATCTCTTAAATCATATTTTTCAAACCGTTTCGAAGCTAATTTTAGAAAAAACTCATTTTCCCAACAATAAGATTAATCAAAAACATTTATTTTATATAATGTCATATGTTAAATTATTATCATTATTATCACCAGAAAGAAGGGTACTTGTATTTAAAATTAGTAATGAAATGTATAACAATGCTTTTGTTAATTCTGATAAAGAAGTAGAAAAGATTATTCTTTTTCATTAGTCAAAAAAAAACAAGAAGCTTTCTGAAAATGAAAAAGAATGTTGTAAAGAAAGTTTTATTTGTAGATTTGAATTAAATAATGCAATTTATGAATTGGGCAAACTATGAATTGGGCAAACCAAAAAAAATGTAATGATTGTAAGTTGACAAGATACTCTGATAGATTCTGCGAATGTTGTGTCTATTTTTTGGGCTACTCTTGTCAGCCAATTGCAATAATTCAGTGCTTGTCAATTCATTAGTTTACAAATTTTTATTGGTTCTCGCTTGTTGTACCTACCTATATAGCTAGAAAGCTTCGGCGAATCCGTAAGCATATCACGAAGGCTCTTTTACAAAGCATAGAGGCTTCTATAAAGTTCCTTTTATTCGCTTATTTCAGTCTTTATCCTTAATTGGCCAATTGCAAGCTCGTTTTGGTTTATTTACAAAAAATTTAAGCAACTGCTTAAGAGCCTTACGTTTACGATTACAATAATATTTTCACCTTAACCTTTGGATAACACTTCTTCACTAACCGTTGTCAACATTTAAATGTTAGTATTAAATCCTTGTCTACTCGCTAAAGTAAATTATGTTACTAATCGTTGTTAACACTCATTAGCTAACCAATGTATTCTAAAGCAAATAAAACGTGGCTTTTTTACCAAAGCTCTTTACATTTGCTGCTTTTATCAAAGCTCTATACTGTAAATGAAGAAAATACACAACATTTTTGCTTTTAAAAGTTCATTGACAATTTTTATTTAAAACGATGATTCTATTACAGAGTTTATTTCATTAGAATGTTAATGGTGTATTTAGGAAGACCCGAAGGCCAGAAGTTGTTCATAATAATAATAATAAACAACACATACATATATTATATAAGCATAAATACAAATAAATTAAGGTTTATCACAATAGATATATACAGGTTTCTGATTTAGATCTTTCAAAAGATGGAAAATATAGGTTTGACCAATGAAATCTAAAGAAAAATGGATATGTTCTTAATTAGCGGCAAATTTTAATACTAATACTCCGGCTAGAATAGAAATAAAAATAAAAATTGTTTGGTGACAATTATTTTTAAACTTGGAATTTTGAACCATTATTGATAAATTAAGATTCAAACTGTTACTTTTTTTTTCAAAAAAAATAAAGTAAAAAAATTTCAAAAAAATGTACTTGATTTCTGTTCCAGACCTCCCTTCTGTTTTTAATGTTTTCGTTCAAACCCCACTAGGTTCCAAATATAAAGCACATGTGACATTGGACACTACCTCGGAGTTACTGCTGAAGTCCCTTAAAGCACTTCTTAAAGATGATAAATATAACTATAATCTTATATATGTACAACAACAACAGGGCATACAATATAATGATACTGATAGCTTTAAAAAATTAGGAGTACGGGTGAGTGTTTATATGTAAATATTTATGAAATACATTTGTAACAGAAGGGAAAGAGAAATGGCCATGCTTGCAATTTCAGTAAATTATGTTTTATTCATTCTTACTTGATCGTAGGAAGGAGGCTTTTTTAAAGCAGAATTGATTCCATTTAAAATTTACGTGGAAACACAAACTGGAAAAATTATGGAACTTGATGTAACTGAGAGGCAAAGAGTTATCGATGTTAAAGAAAAAATCAGAGAGTCTGAGGGTATTTCTATTTATGAACAGAGTCTAATTTTTAATGGAAACCAATTGAATAATGATATCCTCTTGGAAGATTGTAATATCCAAAAAGGGTCAAAATTATACCTACAAAATCCAATCAAAATTTATGTGGAAACGCAAACTGGAAAAATAATAGAATTTAATATAACTGAGAGAGATGCAATCTTAAATGTTAAAAAAAAGATTAAAGTTTCTGAGGGTATTCCTGTTGATAAACAGAATCTAACTTTTAATGGAGAACGATTGAGTAATGATAGCTTCTTGGAAGATTGTAATATTCAAAATGGGTCAAAATTATACCTTCAAGAAACTTCGGATTGTTTTGTTTATGTAAAAACACTAATTGGAAAAACCATTACAGTGTTTGTAGATAGGTTCGATACCATTAATATATTTAAACAAAAGATACAAGATATGGAAGGAATTCCTCCTGATCAACAGCGTCTTATTTTTGATGGCAAGCAATTGGAAGATGGGCATACCTTGTCAAATTACAATATTCAAGAAGCATCCACATTGCATCTTGTACTTAGATTACGTGGAGGAATGCTTCAAGAAACCAGCGGGTATATAAATTTCAGTGCATTGCCACCGCTTATGCAATACTTGCAAGCTCCTGAAAGACATGTAGAAGGTAAAAACCATGCTGGTATTGCTTGTAATTATTGTGGTAAAAAAGAATGGAAAGGAGCAAGGTAGATAATTGGTTTAATTAGTTTTTTTTTTTTTACAAGCTATGAAAATATTTATTTTGTTACATGCTTTTGCAATTTACTTACATGATTATCTATTTGACATATTTTGTCTCTCATAGATATAATTGTTCAGAATGCCTTGATTATGATTTGTGCTATGAGTGTATCAAAATGGCCAACTTGGTTCATGACGCGCAACATAACTATTTGGAATTATTGAATCCAGTAGATCAAAATAAATTTCCAAAAGATGTCTCTGTTAATCCTGTTATCGTCTTCCCAATACTTCCAACAAAAAAGGAAGAGATGTTGGGCTTGCTACGTGAGGAGGAAAGGAGAAGACTGTCACCAGAAATACAACAACAGTATCACAAGGTTGGAAGTGATCCCACATCTGGCAAGGACTGGATGGATGTCACTGATCAAATGCAACATGAATTGGTTAGAGATTTTGGCTACTCAGATGAAGCTGTACAGTTATTACGACGTGCTCCACAACTTTATCAGGGTAAAGAAAGTTTTCCATTCTTTTTTTGTCATATTATTTGTCAGTGTATATGTTTAGCGCCATTAAATTTGTTTTCTTTATTTTCAGATGATCCTGCATTTCGTACAACTCAATTATATGTTCGCAACAATATTGCTTCTATTGGAGACCTCAAAGAAGGAATGCTAGCACCTGATTGTCCACTAGTTCCTCTAAGAAGTATGAATGTTAACTCATCAAACTTAGTTCAATTGCGTTCACTTTATAAACCAGGACGACCTTTTGTTCTCCTTGGTGGATCACATACTTGTCCTTTATATAGATACATATCTCACGTACTCAATGACATTCACGAGAAATATCAAAGACATGTAGACTTTTACATGATTCAAATTCGTGAAGCACATGCCAGTGATGTTTGGCCTATTGGTAATATTGTAGATGTCAAGGAGCATCGTACATTAGAAGAACGATTAACAGCTGCACGTGAAATGGTTAGGGCTACTGATCTTCAGATTCCTGTGCTGGCCGATACAATGGATAATAATTTTTTGAAGTTATACTCACCTTGGCCGTTCCGATTTTTTGTAATTGTAGATGGTATTTTGAAACTCGTTGGGATGCCAAAAGAAGCACGTTATGATACAACAGACCTAGTCAATTGTTTGGATGCTCTTTTGGATGGTAGTAAGAAATAAGATACAAATTGCTTCTGCAGAAAACCCTTTTGCATTTTACTTTTTTTATATTTTCATTATTTATTCCTTTTTTACATAAATTATATACAGTATGGTGGTAATAAAAAAGTTAATTGTTGAAAAAGAAATCCATTAATATCTTCAATGAATTATAATAACATATACAAGTTGTTACACATTACTTTTTCCTTTAACATCAAGAATAATAAGTTACTATTCCAAAAGTGGAATAGAGTTAAAGATTTTTTTTCACATTTCGATTTTGCTCTCATCCTTCCCCCAAAATTCAGTTTACCAAAAGTTCATGAACAAGCCCTTGCAATGTGCAATGCGCAATTTGCATTATTTATTTATTGAACAAGTTTACAACCGAGAACGCAATGTGAGCTTTCGCTTTTTACCTATTACACAATCATGTGCACCATGCTAGGCAAGATCAAAAATTCATTTATTTTAAATTGGATTTGGATTGCGTCTTGTTTGTTGCAAAGAGCAAACAAATGACATCATTCGGGCCAAGACAATAGTCTATTTTATTAAATTCGAAACATATAAATAGGACAGCCGTCCCCACATTTTTTCATGACATCAACATAGAGACATTCCTCTCAGGCCATTTCGGTACATAGAACTCAACATTCTACATTCAACCACGACGCCCCTGTCCATCTTCAAGCGATCAAGACAAAATTCAAGTTTATGAATGTGCACACATTCAAACCGTGAGATCATTTATTGTTATAAAACGTTATACAAAATAGTCTGTCGTAATAAAAACACACGATTCAATCACATATATATACAGTATATTCTTTCACATTATTATTTATTCATTGAGCAAAAAATTTATTTATTTAGAAAATTTATTATAAAAATATTTATTTTTGTTGAGAACAATGACACCAAGTATATAAAGGCTTGTAATGCACTTCCATTTGAATTTAGTCTATATAAATTTATCATTATATTTTTTTACTATTTTACTATTTTACATATTACAAACCAATCAAGCAAATGTAATCAATCTCTCTTGTTTAAAAGTTTTATCGGTGAGTTCTTCATGATCACATTTCATTTATTTTAAAAATAAGTATAATAAATAAATAGATATTAAAATTTTTCTTTGTGTTTGGTAAAGATTTCACAGTAGACCCTCTTACTTCTATGTTTCAGCTTTTTTCATTAAATCATCATTCAGAAACAATGATACACGTTGTGCATATTTTGTATGCACTGAAGGTAGCTCTGCAGGAACTAGCAGACTACTATTAAGATCTAGAACTTCCATCAAATTTTGAAGATAATGAGTCCTTAGACCATTCAGTTTTCTTTACTCTAGATTTTTCACCTGTAATAATAAGGAAATATCATTTCAATATATTGTACATATAGAAGGCAAAGAGCTTCTTTTTATGATCAAAGAGAATAATGATGGAAGTACTTCATGTGATGGACAAAATCAACGTTTATTGGTTAAATTAGTGATGTTAGCCGGTTAATAATCTGTATACATAATTTCTAAATTTGTTAATGGATTTCTGTGTTACATTGCGGATCATCTATACTCAAAAGTTAAAATTATGTGATCCACACTTTGGATTTTAAAAAACCCACCACCATTTAATTCAGCTTTAAAAGGGGAGTCTATTAATCTAAAAAAAAAGCCTCAAATTTTCTTTCCATAGATTTTTTAAATTTGAAAGTTATACTCAGAAGTGCAACAATAATTTTCGTGTTACAATATTTTGAATCTCACGACCAAATTTGGTAATGATTTTCTTTTAA